TCCATCGTCTTTCGCAGCTGAGAAGTTTGAAATATATTGTTATAAATCGGCGCCAATAATTTTGGGACGCCCTGTACATTTGCATTCATATAAGATTCGAAGGTCTTATGAGCTTTTTGACGAGAAGAAGTTTAAGAGTAAAAACAAATGCCGTGCACTTTTTGCGTGCGGCACGCGCTTCGACACATTCTGACTAAAGGGTGTTCAGCGTGGAAGAAATGTTGAGATCCCAAAGTATACGTATATTTCACACTTCGATTGCTTGAGAAGAGTCAGACGCCTCGCAAGGCCATTTCCCCCTTCATAATAGTTTGGTCTGGAATCTCTTCCATCGAGGCGATATCGCAATTTTGGTCTAGAAAAGTATAAAATTTATTCCGAACCTCATTGAGAAGGGGTTTTCTGAAAGGGAGCGGCTGAGGATCAAAGATTTTTGTAGGGATCCGATTTGAAAACTATGGCACACTTGCTCACAAATGGGAAAAGAGCGAGACTGGTGCTGGAGAAGTGCTTGCGACCATATCCTACTTTCCAATCCTACGAATTTACCGGACCACAATGTGATGGGTCCCTGGATATAGTCCATACTTGAGAGTAAAGCCTGCGCTTCAAAACGCACAACTATTGCTGCTCTTAAGAAGCCATTAAAAAAGACCGGGCTAATGTTTCATTAGAAACTCTGCGTGCCACCGTCGATGAGTAGCCGAACCGTCTTCGAGCTATAATTAGTACAGGAGACGGTTATATAAGATGACCATGTGTTCGTTTCGTAGATGCGATGCATAGTAAAGAGTTCACATACATTCACTATGTATCAATATGAACTCTTGCTTCTGTAGCCATATTATTTTGTTACCATATTTACGGCGCACCCTCTATATAGTAGGATACTTTTCTCAATAAAAATAAGCGATATTGCTGTGATGGCACAGATTCCGGCTTAAACCATCATAGAAGAAGGAAAACGGCTTTAAGAAGTGATCTGACACTTCTCAACTTCCTCGCCACTTGTAATGCGAAATATACATGCTCCAGAACTCGAAGATTTCTTTCACGCTGGACGCCTTTTCGTCAAAAAAAAATCATAAGTATTTTCGAAGCTTTTGATACTCCACTTTTTTGGTTAGCTTTCAGCATATGATGCCTTCTTCAGACCTCAACTTTACGATACATTGCTGGAACATCAGTCAATAATCACTTATTGCATGCCCACATGGAATCCCACCAAACCAACCGAACATGTTGGGAAAGAGGAGAGTGGACGTATTGGCGGAGAAGTTGAAGAAATGGAACACCGCTCTTATCCTGAAGCCAAGAGTGTTATCATTCAATCAGTCTCAGGAGGTCACATACCTCCTCCGCGTTGATGGTCGGCTTAGCGCATTATACACTACGGTGCACAATAAATCGCACCATGTAAAAACCTGATTTTTGAGAGGAGCCGAAGCATCTAAAGCTTCTGCCGCAGATATGTTAAGTATAGAAGAGGCCTAATAATTTTGGCGCGATAATCGATAGATGACAACGCATTTGAAAGATTGTGACGGGGCAATATTGATTGTTTGGCGGTGCACAATAGATTGTACGACTTGAGGTAATTGATTTATTCGATTTTTTCTTCCCTGTGTCTGGAAGTTGCACATGCTTGCATGTTTGTTTTTTAAGCATGCGCAGGTATACGCAACTTACAAACGAGACCGGATTCGAATTGACGCGTTACGTCACCTTGGAAAAAGTTATCTTCAAATTTCTAGAGAACTCAACATTCCTAAGAGCACAGTTGCGAGTGTCGCAAAGAAGCAATCAACGAATGTTCCGAAGGGGCCAGGGCGAAAACCAACTCTTCCTGAACGCGACAAATGTCGGTTGATCGATATGGCATCAAACTCTACGAGAACTGCGAGGGAGTTAGCTGCAGATTGTAGGATTCCGGTTTCAAAATGGAGTATTGCTCGCGTCCTGAAGTCATCACACGACATAGCTTCTCGGAAGGTGAAGCTACACGGCTAGCATAGAGTCACCGAGAAAAACGGTTCCTCATCGCTAGGAATGAGGTGAACAGAGATTGGACGAGGTTTTTGAAACTTGCCTAGCTTCACGAGAAATTTGAGTTTTACATCCTTGTCTTTTTTCAGGTTATTTTTTCTGATGAGAAAAAATTCAGTGGAGATGGGCCAGATGGAAATCACTCGTATTGGCGCGATTTACAAAAAGAACCACTACTTATGTCCCGAAGGCTTCTCGTTGATGGTTGGGGAGCGTTTTGTAGCTACGGCACCGTTGGTATTCAATTCACATCTTGTAAAATGACAAGCCAGGACGACTACCCATCTCTTCTTGAAAAATCGTTGGTGCCATTCATCAAGACGAACACCAACAAATACTACTTTTTGCAAGACAACGCTTCAAATCGCACTGCGCGGAGTACTCTATCCTACTATTATTATTATTATTCTATTCAATACTCTACTACTCTACCGGCGAGCGGTCGACTTTTCATCGCTCTCCCCGACCATCTCGCACCAGTCGCCTGGACAACCTGGTGCTGGTACCATGTCCAATGTGCTTCCTCTCCGGATCGGGACTCTCAATTGCCGAACTCTCAGAACAGAAGCAAGATTAGCAGAACTTGAAGACGCCGCCAAAGAGGTACCCTTTGACATTATCGGACTTTCCGGCACACAAAGAAGAGAAAGCATATCCCTGAACCTTATACGATCTAATCACACGGTTTATTTTTCGAATTCTATAGGATTCTTAATCAACGCAAAGTGGTCAAAATTTTGTTCCTTCCATGTCATCTCGGAGAGAGTCTGCTATGTCGATGTCACTACCAACCTTAGAAATCTTCGAGTTGTTCAGGGATATGCACCAACTGTTACTTATTCGGATGTTGAGTATCATGAATTCCTTGAACAGATTTCTGAAGCTCTTGGTGCACGCTTTCACAATCAAGGCTGTATTGTCAAAAATCGAAACCTGGTCAAAACTGTTCTGGGCGATTTCAATGCAAAGATTGGGTGCGGAGAAGAAACTGAGAAGTTTATTGGACGACATGGCCTAGGCGTACGCAACGAAAGAGGTGACGTACTTGCCAATTTCTGTTCAGAAAATGAACTTTACGTGATGAACAACCATTTCAAAAAGACAAACTCCAGAAAATGGACGTGGATATCACCCAATATGCAGACGAAGAATGCTATTGATTTTGTTCTATCAGCTGACCGAACCATATTCCAAGATGTTGATATCATCGGCCGATTCAAATTCGTCAGTGATCACCGACTTGTTATGGCTAAGATTCGTCTAGAAAACAAACGATATCATTCCAGGAAAGCTGAGACCACAACAAACTTTGATGCAAAGGTTTTCTCCGCAACGCTGAAACGGCTTATCGCCAACAAGATTTCTAGCAACTATGAAGAACTGAAGGAGGCAGTAGAGATGGCCGCTGCTGAAGCCAAATCGGAGGTTCCGAAAAAGTTCCACTTTTCCGAAAGAACGAGAAATCTGTTCGAAAAACGACACCTCCTTTTACATCAGCAAAGAAGTACAGTAGAATTTTCCATGATCAACAAGCTGTTACGTCTTCCGTTTGATCTTGAGCGGAAACATCTTCTGCGTCTACAAGAAGCTGTTTCTCAAGGTTCCAGTCTTCGTCGAGCATTACAGGAGAGACAAATTGGTAGAACGAC